GATATCGTAAATTTTTTTTTATCAATTTCACAAAACACTCATCAAGACTATAGTTCCATTTTTTTGGCATATGCATGTAGGTGCTAATATTTTACGATAATACATTCACATATTTTTGCAACATTTAATAAATGCTTTCACATATATGTATTTATACATACATAATATAAGTACATATATCAACTTTGCAAAACCCATCGAAAAGCGCTTGTATATTTTCGAAATTTCTTAATTTTAATATTTTTGCTTTCTTTTCCAAAAAAGAATTTATAAAATCATTTATGTTGATGTTAAATACATACGCAATTATTGACTTATTCGAAACCTTGCGAAATTTAACGGCATATGTATATAAATAATTTCGAAAATTCGTAAATTTGAAAAATTTATATTCGATGTGAGAACTTGCGTATTCAGCTCGTGAACTGAATTTTGTGCGTTCGTCGTTTCACATTTATTGTGTTTATTGTGTAATTTCCTGAATTTTGTATTGACTTTATGTATACTACTATTTGACCGTAGGTAATTCTCAGCCGCTCTAAAAAAAATTTTGAATACCAAAGTTGTTCCAAATGCCAAAAACATTTGTTTTGGCAGGCAATATTTTTTCGAATATTGTATATATATAATATATTTTGAGTTTTAAAGTGCTTTGAAGGTATCGAGTACTTTTGAGGATCGAGTTCTTTGGCATCGATACTTTTAAGCATCTGGTATTTTTGAGAGTATTACTTTCTTTAAATATAGTAGAAATCTCACAAACTATTAATCCCAAGTAACGTCAAATGAACTTTACTGGGTACAAGTGTAGTACTTGAAAACTATTGAAACTTCAAATTGAGTACAATCATTTCTGAGTAGCGGTTTATTTAGACAAAGCTCAGTACTTTTAAGTATCTATGACACTTAATACTGAGTACTTTGAATCGATGCTGAGTATTTGTATCAAAGCGATGATTGGAATAGAGCATTTTTGAGTAGTGAGTACTTTCGAGATCCTTTGTGAGTACTGAGCACTTTGGCGTACTCAGTATAGATACTTTTAAAAGTCGGATGCTGTCGATCCCTTTGAGAATCGAGTTCAGAGTACCTTTGGTATCGATACTGCCCATTACTAGTATTCTACAACAGAATTTTAAAAGACCAATTCACATAAACACATACATCTTTTAAGTTTTCGTATATTTAATTGACAATTAATCGCTGCTATCATAATTATGCTTTTTTATTGTTATTAAATATGTAAGCATGTACCTACATTCATTTTCATCATTTTCATCTTATTTTATAAACGTCAGCATATCTATTTGTGAACATTTTCACTTTTTAACATTACCTAAAATTTTTGTATTACCGGATATAACGAGTTTGATATGTTTTTTTTTTTTTAAATTTCATTCGAATAAATCTATACAAATATTATTATTTTTTGACTTGCTTAACAGTCTTAAAATCTATGGCAAAGAGCTTACCACAAACACATTTTTAATAAATATCTAAATTTTTTCTACCTGTTCGCGTCAGTGAGGCCCATTTTCAGAATACAGAGTTGACTCATATTCGGTAGTTAACTATCGATTTTCAGCACGAAAATTGAATGTTAACCGCCGAATGTGAGTTAGCTGTCCACTGTGAAAACGGCATTAGGAAATTAGATTGAAAATTAAGCAGAAGATTTACAGTACCTACAATTTCCATAGACAATTTGAACATCCCAACAATTAAACGCCGACACTTGCAACATACAAATATACTATACATAAGCACTTAATAAAATATAAAATGTTTTTTCAAGCTAAATTTTATTTTTTTATAAAAATATGGCTTGTGCTATGCGATCACTGAATCCGATTTGCTACGTTCGTGGCTATTCGGATTCAGTTATAGCATCGGACTATGATGGATTCTGTGTTAGCCCTGGTTATAAAAATTCTGATTAAACAGCTAAACAATTTTATGAAAATTTGTTCAATTTTTTTAAATTTGTATAAAGTTTGATTTTAATGGTTTTTTTAAAGCACCAACCAGATTTTTATAAAAAAAAATAACAAAAAAAAAATTTGTTGAAAAGAAAACATTGTAAAAATTAAAAACAAAACACCATTCATCCAGTTTTGACCGCCAGTGCACATACCTGAAATACAAAATTTTACAGGAGAAGCAAAAAACATTAAAACATGCATAACTCCGTTACTTTTGGTACAAACACTTTCGAATTTTGAATGCATTTGTATTTAAATATAACCTACCAAAATCTGTAAAAAACGCAGTTTCGAAAAAAGTGTTGGTTAGGGCCTTTGTGAATTAACGTAACGATATGTAACTTCACTAACGATGTTTTCGTTTCTTCGAAAAAATGTCGCCCTTCCACACTGAAAAATATTTTTGATGTTGCACTCAACCCTATAAATGCGCCTGTTTAATATGGAAACCTATCCTTATCTAGCTCACACATTTCATAATATTGTCGTTTAAATCAGCCATCTGATTTTCAGGAAAACCATCTCCTCTGACAAAGTTGCAATGGTGAGAGATTGAGCCTTTTCTGCGTTACTACATAGAGTGTGACATGTACGGAAGAAACATAGCATCGGGCACGACAAAAAGAAACGAAACCCCCATTTGAAAACATATAATTCAATTTAACCTTGATTTCCATTTCTGTGGCCTTGTGAAGTGAACCGTAGTGAAATAAAAAAAAAAAAAATTTTCCATTGAAAAAAAAGTTTGCGGAGTATATTTTTTGTTGGTCAGGAGCATGCAACGTATAATTATTGTCCATGAGAGAAGCAATATCGACCCCAGCGCCAACTATCAAGTAATTTTTTTGATAAAATATTTCCTTTCGTGTATCTAATTTGAGCCAAATCGGACCGTAATACGGTTTTTAGAGATATCTCGACCATATACGCTGGAAAAACGGCGAACATTTTATATATACAGTGGTGGGAAAATAAATAGGGACACGAAATTTTACCAAAATTTTCCTATGTTGCTTTTGTTTATTTAATATTTATTATTTTTTTATAAAAGTATAGCTCGTTATCTAACAAAAACCATATAAATTCATATTTCAAACCTTGTGCAAAAATTATAAAAATTCTGCGAAATTGCATATAGATTGTCAACTTTTTGATCCGATTTTTTAGAATTTGCAGTTTTATAGCCCATTAAATTTTAGTAAAATAAAGTGCAACTTTGAAGTTCCTAAAAAATCGCGTTGATTTTTGTTAATTTTTATTCTGAATGTATTACGCACTTTTTTCCATACAAAAATATTTTCGAACATACTTTGTATGGAAGAAAATGCGTTTAAAAAAATTGCGATTTTCTAGCAACTTGAAACTTACACTTCATTGAACTAAAATTTAATGGGCTATAAAACTGCAAACTGCAAAAAATTCTAAAAAATCTGATTAAAAAGTTGGAAATTTAGGTGCAATTTTGCAGAATTTTTATAATTTTTGCACGAAGTTTGAAATATGAATTTATATGGTTTTTGTTAGATAATGAGCTATAATTTTATAAAAAAAATAATAAATATTAAATAAACAAAATAAAAAATTTCGGGTCACTATTTATTTTTCCACCACTGTAAGAAGATATTCGACCAAATGACTATAGAATTATGATTTCCATAGACATAGATAATGTTGCTTCAATAATAAGTGCTTTCTTAAGATTCATCAAAAGTCTATCTCGGAGCATAAATGCTTTAAATTCAAGCTTAAAGAGAAATTGTTTTCGAGAACGAGTTCAGCTCAATAAAAAAAATTACAAACAATCCCAAGTGCTTAAAAGTGTTAAAATCAAGTGTGTTAAATTAATGTTAAAATCATACCACCTTGTCGAAACCAAAAATTGTAACAGAAATAAAAACAAACAATATTTGTTTATAATGCATTACCAAATTTAATGGATTTATTTTATTCGTTTATGTGTTGTGTTGACAGAAAGTAGCCACATAGAATTTTTTATAACTATTAATTCAATTTCAGTTATTATCAATTATCATAACTCAATTAATTAGTAACTATTTGTCTACGATCGGCATATACTTAACAACAGCATTCGCATTTGTATGGATGTAATTATTTAATTGAAGAATGCCGGTTTTAACTAAAAGTAAAAGTAGCTAAAGCTGTACATACATATGTACATATATAATTTCCTTTTAAATTTGTTTGCTTACCGAGTTTAATCATTTCTGCGATTGTTCAGAAAAAAGTTTGTGGAGGAAATGGTTATCGAACAAAAGAAAAAAAAGCAAATAATAATTAGATAGAAAATGAAGTGAACCGCCTAAATTCCAACTGCTTGGCAGAGCAGCGCAGCATTAGAAGACAGCCACGGCAGCGACACAAACAATTTCAAGCCCTAACAGCCAGTATAACCACTACTACAAGTATACACTTTTATATTTATTAACTAATTAACTAAGGCTCTTTCCTTTAATAAGAGCAGCAGCGCATGCTAGCAAAACCATGCATGCTAGCCACTGCTTTGCCATGCGCATTTCTTCAAATATTTAATTTAGTTTTATTTATTTATATAAAAACTAGAATATTGGGCATTTCTTTGCTGCAATTCACAACTTTAGCTTTAACTTCCAACTGTAATAGAAATATTACTTTTCACCATAAAATTTTTTATTCTATGCAAATTAATTGTGTTTTGATATATGCGGAATTATATTTATTATAAAATAAAGGTTTCACAAAAATAAACCGACTTAGAGACTACAGCATTTTTTTTTTTAATTATAAAAAATCGTAATCATAACGTAAATCAACTAAATAAATTAAATAATAGAGAAGTAGCTGAACGTTCGTGTATGTGTGTGTGTGTGTGAATGGCTGAGAGGTTTTTTCTGAACATTTTTCAGTAAGAAAGTAGAAGGGCATACTGCAAGCAGCTGAATGCGTACGAATTAAGCGGACGCTTTTGAATACAAACAGTAATAGCGCTGTTTATAAAAAAATAAACAGAATTGGACAAAACACTCATTGAAGAACCGCTATGCTTTAAATCTTTGTTGGGAATAATGCATTCATACAAGTACATAGAAAGTCTTGTGCAACTGCCATATGTCATTCAATCATCATCCACCATTGACCTAATTCAGATATCAACTTATCAATTTTACGCTACCAGTTTCGCAACTATTTCGTATCAATATAGTTTTTTGTTTTCATATTAAATAACTGTAAAGTTATAACACCTAACTAAATTAAGCTGCGTGCTACAAATTTCACGCACCGATTTACAGCGGCTTCTACTACGCTAAAGCGCGCATGCGTGTGCTGTGGTCATTTGGCATCAGCATCGGCCACTTGTGTGTGTTATTTCGTCAGAGGAGTTTAGAACGCATATTTTGCAAACAATACTTATATTTATAAATATATTTTAGTTTAATCACTTTTTAAGCATTACTTTAACAAGACAGATTAAGTTTAAGAAAAAATAGTGGGCGGGAAAATATGCGCTCATATCTCCTTAATTGCGCACGCACACACAACGCCTCAACCACCTGTTGCTGTTGCCACCAAGCAGCCAAGCTGCATAGCTACCTAAATATCTACAAGATATTAGTTTGCGCTCGCTCGCCAGCCGCTTACACAGCATCCACGCAATACTACATACAACATAGAAATCGATTGAAGAAATTTCTGGCATTCCTGCGCGCACGGTTGGCCCTTAGCTAACAAATAATACCCTGATCCAAGCTTAAATTGTTGCCTGCAGCACTCTTCGCCGCCACATGCATGTGATGGTGGTGGTGGTGGTGATGATGGGGATGGGGTTGCGAGTGTGGGTGATGATGTACGCCATTGACGTTATGATGATGATGATGATGATTATGAAGGTGTTGCTGCTGCTGATGGTTGCCAAGCAATAAAGCAGCAGTAGTAGTGGTGGATGTCGTCGAGGAGTTGCTGCCATTCACGATGGCTGTTGCTGTTGCTGTAGCAGTGGTCGTGGCGTTAGTGTTGCTGTTGCCCATTTTATTACTCTTATTAGCGGCAATGTTATTGCTAGCTTTATTGGTGCTGTTGCCATTGTATGCCTTGGTATGTTTGCCGCCTGCGCCATCCATAGAATGCCTGCATCCGTTGGCGGCGGTGCCGTTCATTGACGCCGTCGTCGCTGGCGTCTTGCTGCCACCGTAGCTGATACAAAGCACGCAAGTCGATTTGTAGCTGGTTGGCATACTGCCACAGCGGGTATGCGCCACTGTTACATGTTTTACAGTCGTTGTGGGTTCAGAGGCGCGTCGGCCGTTGGTTATGGCGCTGCCAATTCCACTCTTATCAACATATTTTCTCATCGAATCCGATTTCTTTGCGATGCCGTTGCTCATTGGCGAAGACTTCTTGCTGCTGTTACTGTCACTGCTGGCACCGTTCATTTGTGGTGATGTTGTATTGGCATGTTGCGGTTGCTGATTGGTTGATTGTGCCTCTTTGAGATGTGTCAATGCGTGCTTTTCCAAACTGCTCGGACTTGTGTTGCCACCTTCTAGTTGGAACTTTTTCACCAGCGCTTTCACAGAGGTGGGCGATGCCTCGGCGTTGGGTGCCTTACGTATTACTTTCGGGGTTGTAGGTGCGTCGGGGAAGAGGCAGTGTGTTGCTGTTGTGGTACTTATGTATTTTTCGTTATTAGCATTATTGCTACTCACATTAATTTGGCTACTGTTGCCACCATAGCCACCGCTGGGCAGTGTAAATGTGGCCACCACATTGGCGGCTGCTGCAACTCCCCCCGCTGTCGTCGTTGAAGTGCCCACATCACTGCCTGCAATCATTATTGTTGCCGTTGATGTGGCCGAAAGTGGCTTCTTCACCACGACACTGCCAATACCAGCTGTTGCCGGCGTGATTTTCTTGGTGGCCAAATATGTGTTCTCTTTATTGGAATCTGAAGACGAGTGCCGGCGTGCAGGTATCTGTAGGTGTTGTTGATGTGGCTTCTGCAACTGCTGCTGCGGTTGTTGGTGGTGCTGATATTGGCGGTGCTGAAGGCTGCTGTTGTACTGTAGCGGTATAGTTGTGGCACGCATTGCTGGCACCGTAACGATGGCGGTTGTTCTTTGTGTCGTTGTTGTTGTACTCCCGTTTGAAGCAGATTTTGTGCCATTAGAGTATCTACCAGCAGAACCAGCGTTCGTGGTACTGTTGAAGCGCGCGCCGTTGCTTGTAGAATTGGCATTGCTGGCACTGCGTCCATTATATTTGCCATATCCATTGCTGCTGTTGCTGTTTTTGTATGTTGCTTGGCCATTCGTGATAACTGCAGGCGCAGGCGCAGGCTTGGATGGCTGAGCTTCCTCCTCCACTTCCTCCGTGTCGGATGATTCCATTTTGCTGCCGTTTGTACCATTTAATTGGTCAGCATCAATGCTTATGTTGACTTGTTCATCTTCGCCGTCATCATGTGACATTTCGTTTTCATTCTCTACTTCATCCGCTCCAACTTCATCCTCCTCCTCGTCCTCGTCCTCCTCCTGCTCATCGTCGTCGTCGCAGACGTCATCTTCATCTTCATCATCATCATCGGCTGCAGCTGTTGCTGAGTCGACTGTCGTTGGTTTGGTGATGTCTGTGAGGATTTGTCTATCGATGGAGCATTCGTCTTTCAACCAAATGTGCTCGAGACATCCTGCAGCGGTCATGCGATCACTGTAAAGTAAAGGAGAATAGAAATTAACGAAGAAAGTGATGGTGTGAAATATGCAGGAAAATTTTTTACGACTACTATGGAAAATAATTTTAACTGGCTGTTGCTGTTTATACATTTTCCTTGATAATTTTATTGGTGCTATCGCAGGGACGTCATGTTAATAGCATGTAGTGAAAAAGCAATGGTTTGAATTTTGGAAAGTTATCTGCTTAGTCTTAAAACACCGTACTTTTCTAATGCCGTAGTCTGCCTTTTTTGTTATTTTTTGAGCGACAAAGGCTAAGCAAGTATAACGTACTTTTAAAAAGGCGTCCACATGAACGAAACAGTCCACATAGGACAAAATTTGTGAAAAATAACAACGAGAGAGAAAATTTTAAACTGCCACTATTAAAGACGATATGCACAAAAAATTACGTGTATGAAGAATTCACATATTAACTTGGAAATTTATTTTCTATTTGGTCAAACTAACTAAACGATCGATTAAATAAGACCGTGGATCAACTTTAGGAAAGACCATAAAATTTAGGATCGCATGAGTAATGAACTCGATCTGAAAGCCTCAAATAAGCCAAGATTTTTGGAGTGTTTGGCAAATTTCATATTTCGACTCTTGATTTACTCGACAGATCTGCCAGAAACTTAATCCCACTTTTGTAGCACTATGTTATTATATAAAAATTCGTTTCTGCTTTAAAATACGTCAAACTCACGTAAATCTTAATATTTTTTCCGAAATATTTTGGCGGCAAGGCTTATAATAAATTTAATATTTCCGATGGAAAAACCTATTTTTTTTTGTATCTAGCGTGATGCACCCTAATGTACATTATATTTAGATGCGCAACGCCATTACATTTATTTCGCTACTAAGCTGGCGCAACTCTATTTCTATTTCTACTCTTACTCCAACTCTAATCAACTTACTTTGGCTTTATTCGCAAGGCGCGACGTATGAAATCAATTGCCACAGCGGACACTCCGCCAAACAGTTTGTCCGGAAATGTCAGTGCACATTGCGATATGTTGAGGAACGTTTCCTGTTTTGTTTCGCCACCGAAAGGCGAAAAACCGGACAGTAGCACATACGCCAATACGCCCACCGACCAAATGTCTGTCAACAATGAGAGCGGTTCGTATTGCAACACCTCGGGGGCAACATAATCCGGTGTGCCGACAATCTCACGCACATTTGTGCCTTCGGCAACGACACGAGAGATGCCAAAATCGCACAGTTTTAAACCATCTGTAATATAGCAAAAGGAGGAAGCACAAAATAGTATAAATTTCGTTTACTAGTAAAACAATTTGTAAGCTCGATATACAGTTGCCCACAAAATAATAGGAGTGCGGTATATTGAAGGGTTTTTCTTTTGCTTATTAAATGTTTATTAGTTTTTTATAAAGTATGGCCATTAACTAACAAAAACCGTAAATCCAAATTTAAAATTTTGTGCAAAAAAATAAAATTTCGCCAAAATTTCAAACTTTTTTATTCAGAATCAACGGTTTTTGTTGCCTATACTAAAATGTGATGCGCTATACAGCGCCATACCTTACATTTTTCAATTTGTTGAATTTTTTTACTTAAAAGAGATCAAAAAATAAAAAAACTAATGAAGATCAAACAAACAAATGAAAACTAGTTAAAATATCACACTCCTATTATTTTGTGGGCAACTGTACGTATGTAAATATACTCACCTTCAATGCGCTCACCAGTGAGCAATATATTTTGTGGCTTCAGGTCGAGATGTGCAATCGAACGTTTGTGCAAAAATTGTAATGCTTTAAGTACTTCACGCATGCAATAGCGGGCATGTGCCTCACTGAGGCATTCCTCATTGTCTAGAAATGTTTGTAGTTCACCACCGGTTGCTCTACAAATATTGAATTTGTATTAGAATTACATACATTGGGTTTTTTTTTTTAATATTTTTTCATTGACTTTTCCACTTACAGTTCCAGCAGCAACGCCGTATCGGAGCGTGACTCGTGCACCGCATTTAATTTGACAATGTTGTCGGCGCCATCGCATAGCATTAGCACAGCGATCTCATGTTTGATCTCCTTATCTGAGGATTGAGCGCGTCGGCGTCGTTTTAGAAATTTGGCAGCAAAATGTACACCAGAATTTTTGTGTATAGCGCGACGTACAGCAGCGAATTTGCCTCTGCAAAAAAAAAATAAACAAGAAAAAAAATTATAGAAAAATATATAGCATGTGTCTACATAGTTATAAAAGCCTAGGATTTCATTAAAAAACTTGTATAATATCCGTAGACTTTTGATAAAACGACTTGATTCTAGAATTTCGATGTACGTGATTAGCCAGTAGGTGGATTATTGTATAGGAACGCAGGTAAGCTTTTTGTCAAATGTTGCTGTATTTATGGTTTTACGAGAAAGTACATTATTACCTCGAAAAGAAGCAGACAACTATAATACCAGGACCAAGATGTAGGTGTAAATTAAAAGGTATTCTGGTGCATGGAATCATTTAACTCCCTTGACGGTAGTAATTATATCCAAGTACCGTGGGTAACAGGCTACAAAGACAAACAAGTCTATCCGGCCGAAATGAGACTTTCCCGCAAGGTCAAAATGTAATAAAAAATAAAGCTCAGAAAGAGAAAATATCAATGAGGGACACTAAACGGGACAACGACAGGCAAATTGCTTACTTGGCGAATGAAGTTTGAAAAGATTCCACTTTTAACCCATCATCCAGAAAAAGAAAATGAAGAGGAAACGGCAATCTGCACAAAAAATGATAACAGCCGCTTTTGGAACTCGGTCAATGCAACACCATCGCATCTTTTAGTCGAGTGCGATGACGGTAGACGTAAGAGTAGTTTAGTGAGGCCACAGTTTTTGAGCACATTTACATCCTACAACAATAAGCTCTTCTGAAGTTTATGTAGGACTTCGGTTTAGAAATGTTGAAAAGAGCAGAGGTCATAGTATACACGGTGTGCTAGACCACCCTTCCCTTTCTAAAATTGAGGAAAATGTTTTTTGATTAGCAAACGCAAACATTTTATATACCATGTCGGGATGCTCAATATTTTTTTTGTTTGAAACTTTTTTCTAGGAACAACATGTCCTGGACTTCTAAAATAAACGAGTTTTTATTGGCAAACGAAAAAATAGCCACCCTCGATTCGCTACTTATGTGCTCGCTATGTTTGAGTTCCGCTTGCTTAACGAAACATTTTGTGTGTGAAAGCAACAACAAAATTAGCTACCAACGATGGACGATGGCATGTACCTCATTAAAATCGTTCGTTTCGCCACTCGCCAAGTGTTGGCAAATCGATGGCGGCTAATATGAATCAGCAAGTAGGGAATGCGTTTCTTTTGGGCATATTACCGACTTCCGGTTTCGATCTGAGGTTCATTTTTTTAACCGGAAGTCTAATCCAGAAAACAGTTTCCTACAAAAGTTATGTATTTTGGTCCGCAGAATTCGAATCTGTCGAAAAAACATCTATGCCCTATAGGCTTCCGATCAGTTTAACACACTTCCGGTCGAAACTGGAAGTCGGTAATACAACCAACAGATAGATAGACAGATGCATGAGAAGGCGCCCCAAATTTCCGGGAAATCACTTCCTCGAGAGCTTAGACAGCTCAGAGGAAACTCCATTAGATAGTCTACTAGAATTCGGCATAAAATGGGGATGGTTTAAATATATGTAGGGATAGGTCTGACTCCTGGGCGTTAAGGGCCTGTGCGGTCTAAGAGAGAAGTATTTAACCGGAGCTGTTCGTCTAACCTAACCCTCTATGTATAGGTTCGTGATTGAGATACCTTGGTTCCAAATAGATCTTAAGCCCCAACTTTTCTTGAAACGAGTTAACCAGCATGTTTATTCGATGAAGTGGTAACTCTATCGCCAAAGAAGCAATAAGGGCCGTTTTTACAACAGACAACCAACCACACCACCTTTTATGGAGTAGGTACCATATTAAACCTCAGGCAAGCATTTTATTAGAGCTGAGAGCTTTTAAGCCGGTTGCAACGCCAAGAGGTGCATTTGCTAGAAACCATTAGCTGACAGCCATAAAGTAAAACTGAAATACGAGGTACCAAAAATATATGAAACAAAAAACAAAAATTAATTTCACAAAACCTTGATTTTCTCCACTTTACAAATATAACAAGTTACTCTGTTCTGTTCTATAGCATGAGATTTGGAGTTCATACCAACATACGACTGGTTTTCACTATGTCATATTTTGACACACAAATTTGGCGACATATTTTGACACAACTTTATCTCTTTACCCATACCTTTGCCGATGATATTATGGGCCAAAAACTGACATACAACCGATTTCGCAGCGCATGTACACGACTAAAGACCTATCCTGATCCAAATTAATCGATAAACCGCATTTTGATCTTATTGGATAATGTGTTTTCACCTATTTGACGGCAAATGCCACTGAATTTGACATAGTGAAAACCAGCCTATAGGCGCATGTACACATACATACATAAAAACATGTGTGCTTACTTTTATAACGGTCTGGGGGCGCATGACGAATGACAGAAGTCACCAGACAGCATTGTCCAGTTTTGGATGGGCTGGACGCAGTACTCAGACACAACAAACAGGCACATTTCATTTTGCCGGACGATTTGGTTTAAATGTCAATGCTTGCATTTATAAGTGGAGTTTTATTCTTAATGGTGGCGTTAGGCTGTAGAAATGGTGGCATAAATTGTAGAGTTTATTGTAGAGGTGTGAAAGGCGGACGGACATTTTTCACGTTTTTTTTGTCGTGCGTACACTTACAGCATTAAGTAGTAGTTTGTGATGATAGTAATAAGAACAATAACAACAACATGCCCGTGAAACTTGTAAGCATGACGCATAATAATGTGCAACGCAACGCAACGCAAAGCAGCACAATGCAATTGTCACAGCGACGCTGATGAAACAATAAAATTAAAAACACCAGTCGAACGTATTGTGTTATAGATACGGTGACCATCCGTTCTGTTTTTTGCAGGACCGTACTGTTATTTAAAGGTCTGTCCTGCGTAGTTTTTCAAAACAGAAAACCCCCACAATGTACTGATTTTTTCCAAGTGTCCTGCCTTTGTCCCGCATTTTCTTCGATATTTTAAAATTAACTTTTCCTTATCGAAATAAAAGCAGTGTCGATAACTAATTGATAACTACATAAGTGTAAGCTGGTTTTGAAGGTTCAACTAGTCAATGCGTTCTAAATATTGTACGGTTATGGACAATGGGTGACGAGAAATTAAAGACCAGCATCAAATATATCGATAAAACTGTTCTACAAATTTTGTGGCAATCGCTTAAGAAAAAAATATTTTCCAAGCCAATTTTCCTTTCAAACAGGCGCTTTCGTAATTTTTTTGAAAAACGTGTTTTTGGTATATTTCGAACCCATTCGTCAATATCTCATGAAAAAATTATCCAATCAACATAAGCGACCTACAGTCCTCTTACAAAAATATATTACTTTGCCGATTTCGATGAAAATTATTAGTGTTACAAGCGACCAAAATCGAAAAATTGAAATGTCAATCATTTTCTTTTTACAGTAAATGAAAATCTGATGAGAAATTTAGTTGTTACGGAACACAATCTGCACAGAAAATATATATTTTTGCAAAGAGCCCATCAATACCTTTCGAACTGTTGGTCGTTTCATGAGATATTGAGGAATAACTGAAAAAGTACTAAATATACGTTTTTCGAACAAATCTCGAAAACACTTCTTTGCAACCATGGGTATTTTTTTCGTGTTCAACGACCCAAAGTTTGCCTAAAAAATTTACTTTACAGAGGTTCATATTTCGTGTAAAGTAATATGTAATATGTATTGGATTAATAATTAAGAAATATACACTCTTCGTTATTTGAATAGCGCATCCTTTTAATACTTAGTAGGTACAGTTTTCCTTTTGGTTGTTTAATATTCATTAACTTTTTATAAAAATATAGCACGTCTACATCCCATTTAAAAAAATTTTTAAAATTAAAAAAATTAACTTAGGGGCGACCTTTTTTTTGTTGACTGTGCTGCGCATTTTCTTCCATATAAAAATTTTGTCAAGCATAGTAGAAAATCAAAAAAAGGGGGCGCTATTCAACTGACGAGGAATGTATATATGTAGCATATTTTTGTTATTTTTATACTACGCAATTATATGTAGGTAAATTTTTTGAAAAATTGTCCTGCATTTTCAAAATATATTTATGGTCACCGTAGTTATAGACAAAGTGCTAGGCGTTCGTGCCAATAATAAAAGCCAGAGCAACGACTAGCTTCCGGCACTATACGAATAGTAACAAAACGTTTTTAGTTGGTATACTATAAAATTCTAAATTAATGTTTGAAAACGTGGTATAAGTGCAAAATATGTACATTCCTCAGATTGAATTGATCGATAGAGGTCCTAGTGCTGACCATAACCGTATATTTTTTTTTTGAGGGGAAAATAATAATAACTGGTGTTATTGGAGGTCAAAGTACACATTTTTCAATTTCTTTAAATTGGGGTACCAAAAAAAAATTTCTTTAATCATTGAAAATATTTTGATACATACAGTGGTGCAAATATAAATAGGCACTCGACATTTTAACAAGTTGTGCCTATTTTTCTTTTGTTTATATTTTGTTTGAAGTGTTAAAAATATAGCTCATTATCTAACAAAAGCCATATAAATTCATATTTCAAATAATTATACAAATTCTGCATTGAATTTTTTAATGCAGTTTTATATATAGCCCATTAAATTTTAGTATAACAAAGTGTAAGTTTTAAGTTGCCAAAAAAAGGGGCAAAATTTAAGAAAAAAAAATTGAAATTATGTTAATGGAGGGCGTTTTAAAGCAGCAGCTGATTTAGGGCTTTTTTGAACCGAATTCTGAAATAGGGCGTTCTTGAAAAATTTGCTGAGATAGGGCGTTTTCGAACGGACTGCCGAGATATGTAGATCGAACTTCCACTCAGCCGTCAATAAATAAAAATTAGCAAACCAGATATTTTTTAATTAAAGAAAATTAAAATTTTACGTATTGATGAAGGGTTCAGATATTGAGTGTGCTCTAGTCTGGTGGCGAAGGCCTAAACATTTTTTTATAAAATTTTGTATTATAATTATAATATGTATATTAATATATATTGA